TGAAATCAATTAGTCTGCCTGCCTACCTGTCAAAAATCTCTTTCTCTCTCTCTCTCTCTCTCACACACACACACATCCTCAATATTAAAGAAAACTGCAAGTAAGCAATCCAATAATAATGTAGGATTTGTAGAAAATTAAAATCAGATAGCAGAATATTAAAATATCAAGCAGGGAAGAAGTAACAGCCTAGGAAATTCTCAATAGAACCAGAACAAAGGAAGAAAAATAACATGAAATAAAACCCTACACTGAGAACAGATGTGTCTCAAATGGTAAATGCCTAAATTCAATCAATCCCCAGTAACGTCCCACTGAAAAAAAAGAAAAGAAAAGAAAAGAAAGCTGGGCGCTGGTGGCTCACACCTGTAATCTTAGCTACTCAAGAGGCTGAGCTCTAAGGATCCCGGTTCAAAGCCAGCCTGGGCAGGAAAGTCCTTAGACTCTAATCTCCTATAAACTACCAGAAAACCAGAAGTGGTGCTATGGCTCAAGTGGTAGAGTGCTAGCCTTGAGCTGAAGAGCTGAGGGACAGCACCCAGGCCCAGAGTTCAAGCCCCACGACCAACAAAAGAAAAAAGAAAGAAATTATAATTTGTTAATTACAAGGCAGGCACCAGTGGTTCATGCCTGTAATCCTTGCTACTCAAGAGACTGAGATCAGAAGATTAAGGCTCAAAGCCAGCGTGGGCAGGAAGATCTATGACTCTCTTACCTCCAATTAAGCACCAGAAAAGACAGAAGTGGAGCTTTAGCTCAAGTAGTAGAACACTAGTCTTGAGTAGAAAAACTCAAAGTGTCCAAACCCTAACTAAATTCAAGCCTTGGGACTGGCGGCAGCAACAACAACAACTACTACTACTATTACTACTACTACAACATTTCAGTAGCAAATCTGACAAGGGACCAGAAATGGGGCTGAAAACAGTTTCACAGAGATGGATACAATGGCTTAAGCCTGTTGTCTTAGCTACTTGGGGTGAAGATCAGGAGATCTCAGATTCCAGGCCATTTTGGAAAGCAAACCAAGTTTGAAAGACCATTCTCAACTAATGGCTAGATGTAGCAGTACATGCCTGTCAAGCCTAGCAACATAGAGAAGCAATAGTAGGAAGATTTTAGCCTAGGCCACCAAGCATAAAGACCCTACCTTAAAATTATCAGTGCAAAAATTGTGGCTCAAGGGGCTGGGAAGGTGGCTCAGTGGTAGAGCGCTTGCCTTGCATGCCTGAGGCCCTGGGTTCGATTCCTCAGCACCACATAAGCAAAAAGAAAAAAGCAGGAAGTGGAGCTGTAGCTCAAGTGGTAGAATGCTAGCCTTGAGCTCAAGAGCTGAGGGACAGACAGCGCCCAGCCCGAGTTCAGGCCCCATGACAGGACCCAAAAAAAAAATTGTGGCTCAAGTGGTAGAGCACCTGCCTAGCAAATGAGAAGCTGAATTAAATCAGTAATAATACCCTACACCCCACCCGCCCAAAAAAAACCAATAAATGGGGTAAATTTGATCAAAGTATCTCATGTGCATATGTAAATATCACAACAACACCTTTTGCAAAATTATGCTATTACATATAAAAAGTAACATTTCCCCTCTACCTATATCCAAAACTTAATGCTTTCCAAAAATAATTTGTAGAATGTACATAAATATATATAAATATATTAAAAAATACTACAGCTGGACTGGGAAGGTGGCTCAGTGGTAGAGTGCTTGCCTTGCATGCATGAGGCCTGGGTTTGATTCCTTAGCACCACATAAACAGAAGAGGCTGAAAGTGGTGCTCAAGCGGTAGAGCACTAGCCTTGAGCTAAAGAGCTTAGGGACAGCGTCCAGGCCCAGAGTTCAGGCCCCACGACTGACATACCAAAAAAAGAAAAAAAAAAGAAAAAGAAAAATACTATACTATATACTATACTATAGCTAGAGAAACTAGTATGTACGTTGGTAATGAAAGTAATTACTCCTTTATTTATACCCTCTTTGCCCAACCTTTATCTATCTTCTGGTTTGCCACTCACTCATCCTTAATTTCTGATCGGATTTTCCTAACCCTCACTTCTTTTTTCTTTTTTGTGTTGTTCCTGGGGCTTGGACACAGAGCACTGTCCCTGAGCTTTTTTGCTCAAGGCTAGTAGTACTCTATTTGAGCCACAGCTCCACTTTCCAGCTTTTCTGGTGCTTCACTGGAGATAGGAGTTTAACAGACTCTCCTGCCTAGGCTGGCTTCAAACTGTGGTCCTCATATCTCATAGCTAGGGTTACAGGTATACCCACTGGCACCTGGATCACCTTCGCTAAATAATGAATGGGACAGCCATGTAGAAGGCTTTGAGAGTTCTGAAACAGACAAGAAAATACAAAAGATACTAACTTCAGAGAAAGAGACCTTGTAAAGTAATCTTTTAAAACTTTAAACATTCAAGACCCACTAAATGCATGATATAATGAGTTTGACAGAGAAAGAACACATTTTAATCTAAAAATACAAAATCCACAGAAAACTCCAAACCTGACTCTAATGGGATGAAGATGTGGCTTGGTGGTAGCACTCTACCATGCTTGTCACACACAAGGAAGACGTATGTTTAATGCCTTGCACTGAGCACATGTTAACATCCACAAGATCAACATCTCTTACCGCTCTTAAGGCATCAATCTAGGTGATAACTAAAACAAGCTCAAAAAAGGAGAGATTAAAACTGAGGTGATTCTCAAAATAAATAATAAAGGAAAAATTTCCAGAATCCTCAAACTCAAAAAGGATATACCATATACAAGAATGGAAAATTAAGAAGTTCATGCAACAACATTTCAAAAGAGTAAGAATGAAGAAAAAGAACCTAAAGAAATCAAGAGTGGAGAAAAGAACAGGTCACTTAAAACGGAGTATAGTAGCACCTTTCCCATCAGCAATTAAGTTCTGTGTAGATTTTATTTTCCTCCTATAAACAAGCATTCAATCATGAAAATACCACAAGGCATTACAGTAGGATGAAGTATGTAAGCCAAGTAGGAAGTCAACTTAGCCGAGTGCCCGTGGCTCATGCCTGTAATCCTAGCTACTAAGGAGGCTGAGATCTGAGGATACCGGTTCAAAGCCAGACGGGGCAGGAAAGTTGGTGAGACTCTTATCTCCAATAAACCACTAGAAAACCGGAACTTGGCACTGTGGTTCAAGTGGTAGAGCGCTCGCCTTGAGCTGAAGAGCTGAGGGACAGCGCCCAGGCCCAGAGTTCAAGCCCCACAATGGGGGGGGGGGGCGGGGACGTGGGAGACGTAGGGACGTGGGGGCAGGGGGAGAAGGGAAAGAATTTAAAGCTGGGCGTGATGGCTCACTAGTGTAATGCTAGCTACTGAAATCTGAGGATTGTAGTTTGAAGCTACCCCAGGCAGGAAACTCCCTGAGACTCTTATTTCCAATAAATCACTCAGAAAACCAAAAATGGTGCTGTAGGCACAAGTAGTAGAGGGCTCGCCTTGAGCTGAAGAAATGAAGGACAGAGCCCAGGCCTAGAGTTCAAGACCCAGGATTGACAAAACAAAAAATAAAATAAGAGAAAGGAAAGAAATGGGATCCAGAAGAAAAAGGATGGCAGCTAGTAGCAGGCTCAGAATCTTATTTAGGAGGAGCCAACTGTTGGTAGAATCTACAGGAGTTCTCAGACCCTAACTGGAAACACAGATTTGCTGCTGCCATATTGTTCATTGTTTTGGGTTGTTTAACAAATCCTTTGTTTCCTTTGGTCATGCTGTTTGCTTATGTGATTGTCTCAAATGATACATGCTGATCTTTTTATCTTTTGTGTATCTACTATTTGGTTTTTAGTTACCATGTGATTTACTCCCCCCCCCAAAAAAAATCTAACAGGTATTTTAATCTGATCTTTTAAAAAAAAAAGTATTGGTATTTTTAAAAAGTTACCATTTCATACATCAGGTAAAGAATAAATTTCTTTTTTTTTTTTTTTTGGGTCCGGTCGTGGGGCCTGAACTCTGGGCCTGGGCGCTGTCCCTCAGCTCTTCAGCCCAGGGCTAGTGCTCTACGGCTTGAGCCACAGCGCCACTTCTGGCTTTTTTTCTTTTTTTTTTGCTTATGTGGTGCTGAGGAATCGAACCCAGGGCCTCAGGCATGCAAGGCAAGCGCTCTACCACTGAGCCACCTTCCCAGCCCCAAGAATAAATTTCTTTATGGACAATGTCACCTCTTCCTTCACTCTCTCAGTTTTCCCCTCCTATCCCTGGACACAAGTTGTATAGTTCATTTTCAAAAGTGAGTACCACTGATGTTCACCCTTTGTCACTCCATTTCTTTTTTTTTTTGGTTGGTCATGGGGCTTGAACTCTGGGCCTTGGCACTATTCCTCAGCTCTTCAGCTTAAGACAAGTGCTCTACCATTTGAGCCCCAGTGCCACTTCTGTTTTCTGAGTGGTTTATTGGAGATCAGAGTCTCAGAATTTCCTGCCTGGGCTGGCTTTGAACCATAATCCTCAGATCTCAGCCTCCTAAGTAACTAGGATTAGAGGTGTGAGCCACGGACACCTGGCTTGTCATTCCATATCTGTGCTGATAATTTTTTTGCAGTGCTAGGAACTAGACCTAGATCCTTGCACATACTAAGCAAGCACTCAACACTCACAATCTCAACAACTTAAAAAGTTCTTCATTGTTTTCTAGCTGTTTCGTAGATCCCACTTTTCCTTCTCTTGTATCTTACATAAAAACTCTACATTTTTATTCTACACATCACGCTACCCTACATTTCAAATTCTGAGGTCAGTTTACATCTTTTTTTTTTTTTTTGTCGGTCATGGGGCTTGAACTCTGGGCCTGGGCGCTATCCCTCAGCTCTTCAGATCCAGGCGAGAACTCTACCACTTGAGCCACAGTGCCACTTCCAGTTTTCTAGTGGTTTATTGGAGATAAGAGTCTCAAGGACTTTTCTGCCCATGCTGGCTTTGAACCATGATCCACAGATCTCAGCCTCCTGAATAGCTAGGATTACAGGCTTGAGCCACTGGCATCAGCCCGCTTCACTTGTTTAAAAGGCTTAGGAAATAAGAATATATATTCAATATCAAGTTGAATTGTATTAAGAAAAGAAAGGGTGAAGAGGGAAGGCCATCTTACCGCAGCATCGACATTAGCAGGTGAGTCTCCATTGGGGTCTGCTAACATGGAAATGACACTTATCATGATGGTTTCCACAGTGTGGATAGGGAGCCAGCGTTCCTCTGGCTTCTCATAACCATATTTATCCTCCCCAGGCTCATGAAGAATAGAAATGCAAACATCACCATTTTTATCAACTGCAAAAGTAGAGAGGCAAAAGTCACTTAATGTATCACTAGTTTGGTTATATATAGCTATATATTTCAAATGTGATACTAATCCACAGAGTACCTATATAAAGCATTATTATTACAAAATATTAAGCCTTGGAATCTGAGTCAGCACTGATGACTCATGCCTGTAATCTCAGCTACTCAGGAAGCTGAGACTTTCTTTTTTCTTTTTTTTGCCAGTCCTGGGGCTTGAACCTAGATCCCAGCACTGTCCCTGAGTTCTTTTGTTCAAGGCTAGCACTATACCACTTGAGCCACAGTGCCCCTTCCAGCCTTTTCTGTTTATGTGGTTTAAGGAATTGAACCCAGAGCTTTATTCATGCTAGGCAAGCAAGTGCTCTACCACTAAGCCACATTCCCAGACTGAGAATCATACTTTTGAAGCTTTCCCAGGCAGGGAAGTCTGTGAGAATCTGTCTACAATTAACCAGCAGAATGCCAGAATAGAGGCACAGCTCAAGTCGTAAAGCATTATCCATGAATAAGAAAGCCAAGAAAGAGCCTGAAGTCCTGAGTCACAGTCCAGGGAAGATGGTGGTAGAGGAGGAGGAGGGAGGGGAGGGAGAAAAGAAAGGGTCAGGGAGGGTTGGAGCCAAAGAGGGAGAGAGGGAGGGAGGAAGAAGAGGAAAAACCAAAAAGCAGGAAGGAAGTAGATCTGTGACTCAAGTAGCAGAGTGCTAGCCTTAAGCAAAAATGCTAAGGGCCTGCACCCAGGCCCAGATGAGGATCAAGCCCCAGTATGGGCACAGAACAAAAATTAACCAAAATATGGCAAAAATGAGTTTCTAATAGTTTCAACACTAACTTAGTTTTTGTTACTGCTGCATTTTGTCTGTTTGAGAGCCAAGTTTTGCTATGTAGCTAAGGCTGACCCCAAACTCATATCCTACTACCTCAGTCTCCCAGATATTAGAATTACAGGTGTGAACCATCATCTTGGTTTGAATTGCTAATTGACAAATTTTTCTAAGAAAATGTAGCAATGTATTTTTAAAATCACCTAAAAATAAAAATTCATGTGAGGAAAATTGAGTATTCAAATTCACATAAAGAGCATGTCAAATGCCTATGAAAATTCATTGAGCCTCTTTACTATAAACATTTTTTTAAATTCAAATCACAAGTATATATTCACTTGAGTAGTAACAGGAGACTATCTTTACCTCAAGGAGACATAAAAAAATGTCCATAGGAAAAATCTTTAACCATATTTTCAACTTGCGTAAGTAATCAGTAGCAGTATTGATGCATTTTTCATTCCAAACTTATTCTATGTAAAGCCTAATAAATTTCTAAACATGTATGGTTCTTTTTATTTTCACTTTTACACATCAGGATAAACAGAACACTTAGTTGCCAGAATTACACATACATGTGCACACAACTACTCTATTAATCTAATAAATACTTTTGAATGCCTATGAATACCAAATGTAACTGGTTAGGGAGTATAGAAATTAATGTAATATGTAAGGCTCATGTTTCCAATGTTTTATACATCAGCTTTTCTGTACTTAAGGAATTAACCTATTTACATCCCTAGTAAACTCGATTAATTAATAGAAACAATCAAAATTAAGAATACCACAACATTATGATTTTATCAAAAAATTTTATATAGGGTATTCTTTACTGCTTTCCTTATTAGAAAATAAGAATTTGGGGGGCTGGCAATGTGACTTAGCAGTAGAGTGCTTGCCTAGCATGCATGAAGCCCTGGGTTCCATTACTCAGTACCACATAAAACAGAAATAGCTGGGCAAGTGGCGCTGTAGCTCAAGTGGTAGAGCGCTCGCCTTGAGTTGAAGAGCTGAGGGACAACGCCCAGGCCCAGAGTTCAAGCCCCACGACCGACAAAAAAAAAAAAAAAAACTATATAAAACAGAAATGGCTGGAAGTAGTGCTGTGGCTCAAGTGGTAGAGTGCTAGTCTTGAGCAAAAAGCAGCTCAGGAACAGTGTACAGGATCTGAGTTCAAGCCTCAAAACTGGCAAAAAAAAAAAAAATTTTTCCAAGCCATTTTCTCTGAAAAATGTAACACTAAATGTACAGAATTTTATCAGCAGAAATCAATTAAAGATCCATTTATAGAAATTAAAGTATTAGCCCTGTGCTGTACACTAGTGGTTCAAGCCTGTAATCCAAGCTACTGAGGAGGCTGAGATCTGAGGATCCAAGTTCAAAGCCAGCAAGTCCATGAGAGCCTGACTTCCAATTAACTACCAAAAAGGCCAGATTAAGTGGTAGAGTACTAGCCTTAAGAAAAAACAAAAAACAAAAAACCTCAGGGATAGCCCTGAATTCAAGCCTTGGGACTGGTACACATACACAAATTATCCCTAATTTAGATCCTGATTTTTCAATCATCATCATTTTAAGATCAGTTTCTTTTTTTAAAAATGAGAATGTTCTGGGGCTGGAAAGGTGGCTCAGTGGTAGAGCATTTGCCTTGCATGCATGAGGCCCTGAGTTTGATTCCTCAGCACCACATAAGCAAAAAGAAAAAAGCTGGAAGTGGTGCTGTGGCTCAAGTGGTAG